CGTTGATCGTCGATTTGCTCGAGCGGGCCCAGTAACGTCTCCATTGGAGACTTTGTTGTTACTGTGTCTGGCATATCGAATACTCTCGGTAGCTTGCCGGGCTCTCCGAGAGGGGCGGAGGAATCGAACTCGGGTCGGCCATGTTGGCCGCTTGTAAGGCGAACGCCCTACCCGCTGTGCTATCGCTCCAGCAAAGAACATAGGCAAAAATAAGTGGCAAGATACAGGGGAAGAAAACACATTTATTACACGTGACACGGAAGTTAATATACAGGACACTTTAGTCACCCTGTCCACTGGTTTTGGAGTGGGCAATCAATTCTCCAAATCCTAAGTTCAGTACCGACTACTCCTGCATCCTGGGGCTCTGTTATTTTGGGGACCATGCTTGTGCCTCCTGCATGCAAAGCCCTGTCACATTGAGCTATCTCTGGTATGAAAATCTTTTCTGAGGAGTTGAGCTGGGGGTGGGCAGAAGACCATACCTGAAGGTGCAAAGAAGTGACTCCCAGTTTGGGGGCTTTAGGAGACCATGAAGTAGCAGGGATGGAACCTGAGTCTCTGGCACGCAAAACATGTTTACTAGCTCATTTAAGTATCTTCCCTACTGAAATGCCCTGCCACAGAGGCAGGGTGGGATAGGGGCTGGGGGGGGAAGGGGATGCTGGGATCCGAGGTGGTGGGAAATGGGCACTGGTGGAGGGATGGGTGTTTGATCATTGTATAATCGAAACCCAAGCACAAAAATGTGTAAGTCTACAACTGTACCTCATGGTGCCTCACTATTAAAAAATAAATAAATAAATTAATTAATTAAAAAAAAATAAGTATCTTCCCTACTCACAAACTACTTGCCTTTGCTCTAGGTTTCTCATCTGGAAATGGGCAAAATAATAGTACTAACTTCATAGTTTTTGAGAAGGTAACATAATAAATGTACAGCCCCCCCACCCCCACAAAAAAGGAATGGGGAGAGCTGAAGAGAAGCTCAAAAGTCCCCAGCACTGCTGGTCCCTGAACACCACCTGGGGTAACCCCCTGAGGACAGCCCAGTGTGACCCCAAAAACAAAAAATAAAGTAAGGGGCAGAGAGTTAGTATAGGAGTTGCGGTGCTTGTCTTGCACGTAGCAGATCTTGGTTCAGTACCTGGCACTGCATAGTGAGCGTAGAGCCAGGTTTGGATCAAAAACCAAAACCAGACAAAGAAAAATCAAATAAGTATGCAAGGAAGATGTCTACTGTAACATTTTCTAAAAAAACTACCTTGTAAACAGTCTTATTGTGCACCTGTAGTTTTAAATAAAAATTAGGTGGGGGTATGTGCCACCAGCAGGTCAATCTGTACCTGTGAGGCGAGTGCATCAGCAGCCTGATGGCACCATCGGGCCTTCAGATACCCCAGAATTGCTGCTGTGCCTTTGGCCAGACCCCAAAAACTTGGGGCAAAGTTTACCAAGAAAGTAAACGGCCAAAGGTCAGGTATGTGGGAGACACTCCCACAAACCACCTCCATCTCAGCTATATAATTGGAGGCATGGCCTCTCTGGTTCCTGATCAAGCTGCTTAATGGCCATGAACCCAGAGACTCAGAAACGAATCTCGAAACCCAGCAGCTTTTGGCAGAAATGCGTCCAGTCCCTGCAATAAGTTCCTGGCACTGGGCCACTGCAGGTGGGAATAAGTTTCGTGCCTTGGCCTGTTCCCTCTGGCAGCCTGGTGGCTGCCATCCTCCAGAGGCCACTGGACAGTCAGGTTTGGGCCCCCAGTGACGAGACACGCAGGACCTTGTGGGATGGAGGTAGAGCTGGTCCTGTCCTCCCCACTCCAATGAGACCCCACATCATCGCCCACAAATGGCCTCTCTGGATCCTGATCAAGCTGCCTAAAAGCCATGATCCTAGAGACTCAGAAAGAAATCTCGAAACCCAGTGGCTTTTGGCAGAAATGAGTCCGGACCCCACAGTAGGTTACTGTCGCTGGGCCACCCTAGGGGGGAAAGGGAGTTGTCCCTCCGCCTGCTCTCCCTTGGCAGCTCAGTGGCTGTCATCCTCCAGAGGCCATTGGACAGTCAGGTTTGGGCTCGCAGTGACGAGACATTTTGGGCCTCACAGGGTGGGGGTGGAGCCGGTCCTGTCCTCCTCACCTCAATGAGACCCCAAGTCATCGCCCACGAACGGCCTCTCTGGCTCCTGATCAAGCTGCTCAACGGCCATGATCCCAGAGACTCAGGAGCAAATCTCGAAACCCAGTGGCTTTTGGCAGAAATCCCTCCAGATTTAAGTGTTAAAATTTCGGAATTTCAAAATCATGTGGCCCTACTGCATTCACGCGACACCATATGTTATTCATAACCAGCAATAGAACACAAATTGTCTACTGTTGCCTTTTCAGCAGATCTGAGTGTTGGGGTAAAATCTCAAATAATAATGGTGAGTCTGGTGTCGAAATATCGAATGTGATCAAAGTAGAGAGAGAGTAATGTGGAAATCATCTGCCCCACAGGTAGAGGGAGGGTGTGGGATGGGGGTATACTGGGGTTTTTTGGGGTGGAGAATGGGCACTGGTGAAGGTACGGGTGTCTCATTGTATGACCGAGACTTAGACCCAAAAGCTTTGTAACTGTTCTCACGGTGATTCGATAAATAAAATGATAAAAAATGAAAAAAATTATTAAAATTCCTTGTAATGGATAGCTTCAACCAATAAAAATAATGGTTAACCAGCAACCAAAAGGAGAGAGAGAACAAAAGGGAATGCCCTGCCACAGATGCGGGATGGGATGGGGGTGGGGGAGGGGTGGGAGGGTTACTGGGATCATTGGTGGCTTAAACATATCATTTTTGGATGGTGTTCATTGGTGGTGGAGAATGGACACTGGTGGAGGGATGGATACTTGATGATTGTATAACTAAAAACCCAAGTACAAAAACTTGTAAGGTCAACAACTGTATCTCAAGACGTTTCACTAATAAAAAAAAAGAAAAAATAAAACAATTGATATAGAAAAAAATGATTAAAATGAATATTCACCTTGTCCCAGTCTATCATTTCCTGTATGAATTGCTCCCTACCTCAGCCTCTCCCTGGCCCATGTTTTTTGCATAGCTGCCAAAGCCAAATGTTTGTAATTTTATCGCTCTCTTGCTCAAGGACCTCAACTGCTCTGCTCAATGAAAAAAAAAATCCTAAATGGCCTTCAGAGCTGTTGTTTCATCACACACACACACACACACACACACACACACACACACACACACACATACACACGCATGCGCGGGCACCTCAACATGCTTCTCAACCACTTTAGTGTCTTAATTATTTTCCCTAAGGGGTTCGCATACCATTGGTTAGAATCATCCACTTCTGTTTCCGGACAAAGCCCTTCACTTCCCCTTTGGAGCTCTTAAATGCTGCTTATGCAATTGTTTGCTTAGTGTATGTCTCTTCCTAAGGGGACAAAAATGATATGTTTAAGCCACTATTTATTTTCTTTTTGGGTGATTTTCAGGTTGAAACCAGGATTTCACACATACAAGGCTTGTGCTCTACTACTGGATCAAATATCTAGTCCCCTAACCACTGTTTTATCCATTGCACCTACTATAGTGCATGACATAGGTGCCTATGTTAGTTCACTGCATCAATGATTGAATGAAAATCAAATGACAACACATACCGTCTGGGTCTAATTTAGTAAGACAGGTCAAAGGTCTTATGGCCGGAAATCAAGTAGCTCTTACATATGCAAACTGACCAGGCCCTTACTGGAGTAGGAGAGGGAAGGACCCCACTGGATGGGGCAGGCACGGGTGCTAGGACTAGCCAGGAGGCACCATAGGAACAGCTGAGTAAGAAGTGGCGGCCCTTTAACTCCCTGGGCATGAAGGTGCTGTAGGCGGAGATTTTTGCTGGAGACCACACGAGACACAGGGATTGGGGAGTCTGGGTGGACGTTAAACTCATTATTATAGGGTGACAGGTGTCTGGGCACACCCAGCCAAGGGACAGAGGCTCAGAGCCCAGGAAAGTTTCCTGGCTTGTGAAGCATGATCGCGCCCTCTTGAGGACAAAACGGGAAGCAAAGGGAGTACCCCATCTGGAGCTTTGCCACTTGGGTTGGGTTCATGGTTGAGGTGAGACCAGAGTGTGAGGGTGGGGGAGGAGGTGGTACTTTCACTCTTTGTCAAGGTGTACTTGTTCCCTCTTCAGCTTTGTGGGACTGAGAGGCCGTGATGTTACTGCCCCTTCTCCTGCCAAAAGCCATCTCAAGGTTTTGATCTCTAGGACTGTAGCTTTCAGCCTTCACACTTGCAGACCAATAAAAACAAGAGAAATGTGTCACTGACCTCCAGATAGGTATTTAAAAACACGCTATGCTAAAAACATTTACCAATCAATATTTATAACAGCACCTTACAAGCTAGGCACGCCATATGCTAAGTAGCAATTACTTTTGGGGGGGGGTCTATAGCCAAACAATGCTCTGGGCTAACTACTGTCTCTGTACTAAGGGATCACTCCTTGTTGGGCCAGGGGACTAAATGAGGTTCCAGGAATCAAACCCAGGCCAGCTGCATGCAAGGCAAAGCACCCTAGCTGCTGTACTCCCTCTCTAACCCCCGCTATTACCTTTTTTGAGGATGGACAGGACATGATTGTCTGTGGACCAGGGTTGGAAACTTGCTCTAGGATGACAAATTCTTCTGCCCATTGGTTCTAAGTAACCGCAGCTGTCCCAGGAGATGCCGGGTAGGGTCCTTTCCTTCTGAATGATGAGGTTTGGACGGAAGGATTGTCACCGTGAAGCCCCTCCATTCCCCTTGACTCTCAGCAGGAACCTGAAGTCCTGAAACAACCTGGTGTAGGTCCCCCAGGACATTGACTTCTCGTGCCTGTTCCCTGTGCGAGCACAGACCCCGTCCACAGAACTAAAGGAGCACACTCAGCAGGAACCATTACATCATTTATTCCACTTTCTCATGTGCAAACTTCTGTGATGGAGTGTCACGGAGGCCTGGAGGGGAGGGGGCTGGGGCCGAGGAGATACACAAGGGCCAGAAGCAGGACTACATCGAAGGACTTGGATCAAGCGGAATCCTCAAAGGTCTTAGAAAAATAGCCTTAACCTGTGCATAATCTTAGGGTTTCTGAAATAGCAGGTGGAGCATCAGGGAGGGGTACGGCAGAGTGTGGGCCTAAGGGGGTACAAAATGGGAGGAAGGGGGAGCAGTTGCCGGTTCTGTGCCAAAGAAGACAGTGGCACTTCGTGGCTGAGGCTGAGATGGAAGGGCAGGCAGTATGAGGGAGGGGGACCTGGCTTCTGCCATCCTTGGGGACCAGCAGGATGCTCCTTTCCCATTGGTCCCGACCCATCTCTGGGATGGAGACTCTACCACCCTTCAGAGTTTGAAATGTTGAGTCCAGGCTAAAGGCAGAGAAAAAAACAAGGCAGCCAAAGGAGGGAGAAGGACAGCCGGAGGCCAGGCCCATGGGCTGGGGAGCTAGACGGCCCCTTCAAGTAGCTCAGGATGGGCAGCACAGGCTGCCCCGGGGAAGGTTTCCTGGCTCCGCACACACAGGGCTTGTGCTTCTGTGGGGCGGGGCCCAGGTCAATCTCGGCCCCCTACTGAACTGCACACAGGGGCAGTATACACTGGACGTTGACTTTCCCTGCACACAGCAGCTCAGATCAAAAGCACAGACCCTAACTGGTCCAAGAAAGGAGTCTTCACCCTGGGCTGAGCCAGGGGGTCCTTCGGGATCCCATCCTGTGGCCCCTGGGTAGCCAACGGCGCCACCTCACTCCTCCCAAGGGCTCACGTCAGTGTCGATGGCCACACAGTTGTACGCTGCATAGCGGAGTTTCTCCTCACAGATCTTGGCACTGCAGGAGGTGAGGACTAGGTCAGTGCCAGAGGCAGTGCAACTGGGACAAGTTCTCTTTCAGCCCAGCATGCACCCGCTTCCCCTCCCTCCAGGCCAGAGGTTCTCAAACTCACTTGGCCTCCCGCCCCCTTTTCAGAAAAGAAAAAAAATCACTCAGTTCCTCTCCTAGAAATCTGCCTTCTTTAAGAAAACAGAAAGTGGCCCCCAAGTCGCCCGAGGCTGCTCCTCCCGGCACCCCCAGCGGGCAGCATCTCCCGTGCCCGGAAACACCCACCTGACGTAGTGCGGCAGGAAGAGGGTACTGGAGCAGGTGGAAGACTCGGGAAGCGCATCTGTGGTCTCGCAGCTGGGGGTGTGGAGGGCGCACGCATCAGAGAGGAGTCGGGGCACAGGGCAGGGGGCAGGCGTGGGGGTGTAGCTGGCCCCAGGCCCCTGGGGCCTCCCTCCACTCACCCCAGCTTGTCGGGGTAGATGTAGATCCGAGCAGGCAGCCGGCTGCGGCCGGTGACGAAGCGCAGGAAGCGGCTCCGGTCCTCTGCGTGGGGAAGGAAGGGAGGGTGGGTGGGTGCTGAGGGGGGCGGGGCCGGCACTGGGCGGCGCTTTCCCACTGACCGCTTCCCCACTGACCGTTGGTGAAGTTGTTCAGCGCTTCCCAGAAGTACTGCACCCGCGTGTCCGACGGCTCGAAGTCCTCAAACCGGGCTGGAGGGGACGAAGCCGGAATTGACTCCAACGCTGGGACCTCACCCGCCCTCCTGCCCCAACCTCCCCAAACACTCACTGAGTTTGCGCAGAGCGTCCACCGTCACCTCGGGGTCTCCGCACACCTTTTTCTCCAGTTCCTGCCACGTCAGCAAGTCCAGCACGGCCTGTGGCACCACCTTCAGCAGACCCGCCTGCATGGCTGCCAGCTAGGGGAGGGCGGAGACAGGCTGGCTGGGGAACGGGACACTCTTCCAGGGCAGGGCCGCAGGGCCGGCTGGTTTCTTGGAGGGGGGGACTGGTGGGTTCTCGGACTGGGCTTTGGCTCCCAGGGGCTGTTCTCGGGGCGGGGAGATACCTGCTCCTTGCTCTCCTCCAGGCGCGCCTTCTGCACGAGCTGGATGAAACGCAACCGGTCCTCGTAGCCCACCACGATGCTGGCACCCCCCGGGATCAGCTCCACCATCTGCTGGTCACTCAGCACAGTGGTGAAGGTGAGCTCCTTCCCGAATTTGAACTCGAAGGTCTCCCTGTCCATCCCTTCCATCACTTCCAGGAGCTTCACCTGCGGCGGGAGGTTGGGGTGGGCAGGTCAGCTTCCACGGCGGACACTGCCCCGTGTTTCCTCCAGCCGCTCTTGAGAGGCCCGGTGCAGGGCACAGAGCAGACTGGGAGAGCAGCGAGACAACACCCGGGAACTTCGGGGGCCAGGATCGGCGTTCTGCAGGAACCGCGTCCAGACTGAGATCCACGGCACGGGGGCGATGGATCGGGCACAAGGGAAGTCAGGAGAGAGAACACCTTGAAATCAGGGAGGGAGCACAAGAGCCCTGGGCAGTTTGTTTGGCGGCAGCCTGAGTTAGATCCAAGAGACTTGAGGTACCGGGACCATGTAAGGCCTTTCTGAGGTCTATGTTTTAGGCTAAGCCCAGGGAGGCCCGCTCAGGGGCACCCCAAGGGAGTGGAAGGGATTCAGGCGTACTTGGCTGGGGGTGGGAGACAGTCCGGCTGCTGCGGTCAGTGTATATGTCAGAAAGGAAGAACCTTGGGTTGGTTGGACCCCTGGAACCAAGTATGACCCCTGAGCACTGCCAGATGTGGCCCCCAAACCAAAATAATAATAACTAACAAAAAAAGAAAGGATTTGATCCAGGGGGACAGAAGTGAGCGCGTTTAAGTGGGCAGATTCCAGAGGGAGACTTGAAGGAATGGGAGAGGGAGGTGGGAGGGAAGGGCGCCGAGGGTGGCAGGAGAAGCCCGCCGAGGTGGGAAGATGAGTCCAGCCTAGGGTGTCAGCTGGGGCAGATGCCCCACCGGCAGAGGCAGGGATGGCCACTGGCTTGGAAGAGCGGCTGGGGCTGGAGGTAAGGAATTGGGGTTCACTAGGGGGTGACGGTGGCTGAGGCCCTGGGACTGGACGAGGCTGCAGAGAAAGCATGCGTGAGGCGAGAAGGAGACTCAGGATGGCTGTGGGGAGCGGCCACTTTCAGGGCTGGGCAGAGGGACCGGGAGCTGCAGGCCTCGCTTACCAGCACGGAGTCCACGGCTGGGAAGTCCTTGGTCCAGCTCACCTCCTCCCCGGAAAGCTGCTTCCACACGAAGCCCGGCAGAGCCAGCACCTGTGACCAACACGCTGAATCCTCAGCCTCAGCTGCCCAGCCTGGAGGGCCCTCCTCCGCGCCCAGGGAGCATGTCAGGGTTACTCACCAGAAACTCCTTCCCCCGAAGGGCAGCCCCCATCAGCTGACCGATCCACTCATACTTGGCAAAGTCTCGGCAGGATGGGTTGGGGACGTACATGTCCCGGGCTTCACCAGTGCCATTGCCCTGCCCAGGACAGGAGCTGTTGGCGCAGCCTGGGGTGGCCTTTCCCTGCTACCCAACGCTCCCCGCAAAAACCTTCCCTGAACACCTTCCGCTTGGGCCCCTGCTCCTGGCCCAGTCTGGCCCGGGCCGGGCTCGCAGAGAGAGGAGCAGGAACTACCTGAAAGGCTGGGTCGGAGGGTACCTGGTTCGCCGTGCGCACGAAGAAAGGCAGGGGGACGGGGGTGTCTGCCGAGCTGGGGCACAGCTCCTCTGACATGTCAGCCAGACTGTCCCGGAAACCACCACCTGAGGCGACAGACGGATGCCTTCAGCAGGGGCTCCTTGTCCAATGGGGACAGCAGGACGCGTCTGCTCCCGGGCCTCACCCTGGTCAATGATGCCTTCGGCGATGAACTTGCATTCCCACCACTGGTCATAGCGCATGGGCCACCTGGAAGTGACGGTCTGTGAGTCGCTGGGTCAGGGCTGGCGAAGGGACCCCCACTGGGACCATGAAGGGGTGAAGCCCCAGGGGGGCAGGACATGGCGGGGATGTGTGTGTTGTGTGCGCCCATGCACGCCCTCGGCAGACCCCTCACCCTCAGGCCGTACCTGTAGTCCAGGGGCTTCTCGTACTTGTCAGAGGGCTTGAGGCCTTCGTAAACCTGGGAGCAGGGGGATGGGGAGGATTGCGGTGGAGTGTGGCAAGGCCCGGTCCCACTCATGCCCAAAGGCCTTGCGGTGATCCCCCCTCACTGCCCCTCCCTGGGCCTGACCCCAGCTGCGCCGACCTGGGTGAAGACTGCGTTCTTGCAGGCAGGATCCTTGGAGGGGCAGGCGCGGTGCTCCATGGCCAGGCGGCGGTTGATGTACAGGCGGGGCATGAAGCTGGGCTTGCTGCTCTCCGAGTCCCGCAGGCACTGCGTCACCAGGCCCGGCCGCTGGCGCGAAAGCAGCAAGAACTGCTTCACTTGCTGGAGAGGACAGGGCAGAGCAGGACCAGAGGGCCATTAGCTCCGTGCAGGACCCGGGACCTTCCTCTCCGCACAGCCCCAATTCCACAGTGTGCGTCCCATCTACTGCACCCCTGCTCAAGCTTCTCTCGGGGGCTTTCTGAAACAAACAAATCCGACTTTGCCATTTCTCAACTGAAAATCTTTCTAACGGGGTCTGCAGACAAGGTTCGGGGGTGAAGGTACTGCCTTGCTTGTAGGCAACCCTGGATTAATTCCTGCCGCCTCTGGGAGGAATCTCAGAGCACAAGAGCTCTATGTTGTTCCTAACCACGACCTGGCGTGGCACAAAACCCAAACCAAAACAAATAAACAAATCTACTCAGAAAGGATATTGGTCTCCTATGTTCACTGCAACACTGTTCATGACAGCCAAAATCCAGAAACAACCCAAATGTCCAAAAACAGATGATAAAAAAATGCACTATGATGAAATAAATACACTATGATGAAATAAATATTCCACTTATACACAGTGGAATACTATTTGATTATAGCTATAAGAAGAGATAATGGGGGGCTGGAGCGATAGCACAGCGGGCAGGGCGCTTGCCTTGCACGCGGCCGACCCAGGTTCGATTCCCAGCATCCCATAGGGTCCCCTGAGCACCGCCAGGAGTGATTACTGAGTGCATTAGCCAGGAGTAACCCCTGTGCATCGTTGGGTGTGACCCAAAAAGCAAAAAAGAAAAAAAAGAGAGAGAGAGATAATGGACCTGGAGAGATAGTACAGCAGGTAAGGAATCTGCCTTATAAGCAACTGACCCGGATTTGAGCCCCAGCACATCTTATGGTACCCTGAGTACCACCAGGAGTAATTCCTGCGCAGAGAGCCAGGAGTAAGCCCTGAGCGTCACCAGGTATGTCCCCCCAACAAAACACAAACAAAACCCCCAAACAGAAGACAAAATCATGCAATATGCACTATGTGGCTGGATGTGGAGAGAATCACACTGAATGATGTCAGAGAGATTATTATTATTATTATTAATGCTTCTTTATATTCTGCATGTGAAAGAGATTGTTCTATGACATATTCATAGAACAATCTCTTTCACATGCAGAATATAAAGCAGCATAGTAGGAGGACAAATGGCCAAAGGCAACAAAACCTGAGACATGGTTTATAGAACTGACCTTAACATGGAGGTGGGGAGAGGTGTGTGTGTGTGGGGGGGGGGAGGGGTTGGGGCCACCCTCAGATAAGGGGAGACTAAGAGTAGTTAAGGATGTGGGAGCTGGAACATTGTAAGCATGAAGCTGTAACATTAACAATGTTGCAAATCATGGTAACTCAGATAAATTTTAAAACTGAAAGAAAGGAAAACAAGTAAAAACCTCCCGGAGCAGAAGTAGGGTGACCACTGCCAAAGAGGTACTGGCAGGCCAGGCTCACCTTAATCTCATTGAAGGTGCCCAGCGTGTGGTCCCAGGAAGGTACCAGGTGGTGCAGGACACTATCCAGGATCTTTATGAATCTGGGCGGGTGAAAGGTAGAGCTGGGCACGAGAGAGGGAAGATTCTCTCTCCCAGTCCCCAGGATGGTGCAAGGAACAGGAACGCAGGCCAGGAGCTGAGTGGCCCCGGTCGCGGGAAGCTTCCAGAGTAAAACCATTCGTGGAATTGAGGTTCAGGGCTGGGCGGGGGAAGGAAGGTGCCAGCAGGCCCGGGCAGTCACCTCTGCAGGAGAACAGCTCTGCGGTACAGGACTTCCGGCTCTGTGCCTTCCAGGCGAGGGTATCGGACCAGACTGCTGGGCTGAAACAGGTCTGCGTTCAATCCGAGCTCCCGCTGCCTAGAGGACTTGATCTTGACCCCTCGAAGACGCACGTCAATGCCATCATCTGGAGGAAAGACGAAGTGGGGTCACTTCCAGGTCTCGTTGCCCCTGTGGCCCACAGCCTGTCTCCTTACTGTTCCACTGGGCCTGGGAGATGTTTCTCCAGCACCCTGGCACTGCCCTGGCGCCCCCTCAATGCTGTCTTTTGTCACCGTTAGCCCCTAGAAACACGGGTCTGTTGGGATTGCTTTCTCTTCACCTGTTTCCTTTTAGTTAACATTTTGGTTTTTTGGGTCACACCTGGCCATGCACAGGTGGTCCTGGAGGTGCTCGTGGGGGCCATATGGGACGCCAGGGATGGAACCCAGGTGAGCTGCATGCAAGGAAAATGCCCTACCTGCTGTACGATCTCACTGGCCCTCACCTGCTTCTGAGAGTTTCTGATTCTCCTGTGCCGAACTAGAGCACTGGGAGCCTAAAGGCCCCGTCCGGCTCAGTTCTCCTTGCCGGTGAGCTCAGTGTGGCTGTGGCCGTTGGATGGTCCAACACCCAGTACCGTAAGACTCAGCCTCCAAACCTCACATTCTGGAGCTGGTTCTACTCCCAGTCTCGCCTCCATGCCAAGTCCGCCTACTTCTCTTCACATTTGCTGATCTGCTGCCCATGAGCCTCTGTCTGGTCCCGGGGCCCCGCTTCCCTCCTTGGAGCTGGAAGCCCCACCTCGGCACTCCACGATGCGGATCTCAATGATGGGGAGATGGACGGTCATATCCTCCAGGACACAGACGTCTCCAATCAGGGTCCTGGGAGAAGGATGGGAGGCAGCATAGGCAGCCCTTGTCTTCAGGGGCTGTTTCAACCATATGCTTCCTGGCAGGGCCTGTCCCGTCCCCCCCTCCCACCCCCCCCCCCCCCCCCCCGCCCTCACATCATGCCCCGGGAGCCCCAGGCCCACTTGCTCACTCGTCAATGCTCACGTCACTCAGCTTCTTCAGGTTGTCCCCTTCGCCCCCGTAAACCACCACCCGCTTGGGCATAAAGTTGTCATCGGTGGTGTCCACGGTGATGAGCAGTTTCCTGGGGAGAGGGGGAGAGTGTGGCCCTGGGTCTCTGTGCACCCATGCGGCTAACCCGCCTCGGCCCACCGGGTCCACTTACTTAACGATGGTGCCCTTCTTCATGGTGAGCCGCACCCAGTGCTGGCACTGGGACCCGTCACTCTCCCAGTAGGTGTCTGCATTGCTGTCTGTCAAGCAAGACACATTGAACTCCTCCTGGGGAGGAGGGAGGTATGGTCAGGATCACCCCCGCACCTAGTACTGGGTACTGGGGGGTGCAGGAGAGGGAGAGTACCGGGAAGCTGGGTTAGAAGGGCAGCTGGTATGGGGTGGAGGGGCTGGACAGTGTTTCTGAGAAGGGGGGGCGGCGCAGGACTGAGTCAGGCCTAGAGCAGCGGGTTCTAGGTGGCCGTGGAAGACTCCTTTTATTTTTCCCCCTCTTTGCGTCACACCCGGCCCTGCACAGGGGTTCCCCCTGGCTCTGCACTAAGGAATTACTCCTGGCAGTGCTCAGGGAGCATATGGGATGCTGGGAATCGAACCCGGGGTGGCCGCTTGCAAGGCAAACGCCCGACTCCCCTGTGCTCCAGCCCCTGAAGCCCCCGCTGTGGCACCGCCAACACCCACCGTGTAGGAGGAAACGTCAATGCTCTCCACGTACTGCTTCACGCTCCCCAGGTTCTCATCCTCTTTGCCCAGGTGGTCGTACAAGAAGTGGATCAGGTCCTCGTCGCACTCGTAGGTCCAGGTCGGGGGCACATAGCTGAGCAAGCCCAAGTCCCCAGTGAGGTGGGGCCCAGCCGGGACCCCTTCCCCCCGAGCACCCCTCGTCCCAGCGTACTCACAGCAGTCTCTGCACCGCGGCCTCGTAGGGGTCGGCGGGCTGCGGCCTGGACCCCAGGCGATGCGAGTAGGTCAGGTCCACCACCTGTTCCCACCTGGGCAGCGAGGAGACGCGGGTGGGCCCCGGGTCTCGCGGACCCTTCCCTGGGCTCCAGCTCGTCTAAGAAGTGCGCCCCCGGCAGGCCGACCCCCTCGCTCCCGTAGGGGCCCCCCCTCCCCGCGCCCACCCGCGCCCCGGGCGCCCACCTGAGCACCGAGCGATAGTCCACCCCGAAGAGCAGCTGCTGCCGGTGCAGGTAGTCGGGCGTGTCGATGGGGACCAGGCGCGCCCCGCCCTCGGCCGGGCGACACACCAGCAGCCAACCTTCGTCCAGCTCGCAGTCGCCCAGGTGCTCGGCCAGCTGCTCCTGCCGGGGCCGCGCCGGGCGGGGTCAGCACTCAGGGAGCTGCCCGGGGCGCTGCCCAGCGGCCCGCCCGCCCGCCCGGCCCGGCCCCAGGCAAAGGGCGCCCAGCGGCCGGCCGCCCTGGCGCGGGGGAGGGGCGCGGGGGAGGGGCGCGGGGGTCGCGGCTCGGGGAAGGGGCGCGGGGGTCCCCGGCCGGGCACCTTGGTCAGCTTCACCCAGAGCCCGTGGCCGTTGCACAGCTCCTCGCCCGTGGTGCGCACGCAGGCGCCGCGCCGGAGCTCGATGCTGTCGCGGGCGGCGCGCAGCGGGCCCGGGCCGGGCCCGGGGGTCGGCCCCGCGGCGCCCACGCGGAGGCCCAGGCCCGCGGCCTCCCACACGGGCAGCAGCACGCGCGACGGGCCGGCCGGGTCCTTGTACAGCTTGTACAGCACCTCCTGCGGCACGAAGGCCAGCGCGGCCGGCAGCGGCCGCCCGGCGCGGAGACAGTGCGCCGCCTCGGCCAGGAAGCGCACGCGGCCCAGCAGCTGCCGCGGGGTCTCCAGCGTCGCGCCCCGGCCCGGGCCCGCCATGGCCGAGCGGCGCCGGCACCCCCGGGGCGATCGCGGCGGGGAGGCGGCCGAGCCGGGCGGAGCCGGGGACCGAGCAGCGAGCGAGCGAGCGAGCGACCCACCCGCCCGGCGGCCGCGCCCGCCCCGCCCCCGGCCCGCCCGCCCCGCCCCGCGTGAGTCCCGGACCGCGCGCGCCGCCGTATTGCTCCGAGTCCTCGGGCGGGCGCTCGGGTAATCCGCGAACCCCGCCTCCCGCCCTGTCCATCATGCTCCAGGCAAACCCTGGCTTGACGCGAAACCCTCAGGCTCAGAATGTGAGCACAGGCAGAGTGGCCCTACCCTCTTCCTCATTAAAAAAATATATATATTTAATAAATAAAAAATGAGGGCCGGAGGGACGGAGGTCAGGCCTGAGTGCTGAGATCACCATCGCAATCACAACCATCCTGTTATTCGTGGATTGCCCCGAGCAGGCCCCAGTAACGTCTCCTCCGTCCTAGCCCTGAGATTTTTAAAAAAGTGCCCTATTCAAGGCTCTTTAGGAGAATGAGACCCATCATTGTTACTGGTATTTGGCATATTGGGTACGCCACATATTGGGAGTTTGCCGGACTCTGCCGTGTGGGCAGGCTGCATTCGGTAGCTGAGTGCTGAGATAAGGCACTTATTTGGCACGTGGGGGTGGTGGCAGCGAATTCTTTGCACCCATAGAATCCCCCACAACCCTCTGGAGTGACTGAGCTCTGCCGGATGTGACCACCCCCAAAAGTCAATAATAATAATAGCAATAAAATCACGAATGGTTCGCTTTAAACTTGGCAGTTTTCCACCCCTAGCTGAACCAGAAGTGGGAAGGCACGAGGCCAAGAGGTAGGCGGGTTCCTACCGGCAGCTTCTAGCTTCTTACTAGCTGCTTCTCGCCTTCGCCCGTTAAAATATTCACTATTGTCTTATTTCTGATCCCCCCCCCCCGGCCCCCCCCAGCGCCCTAAAGAGGCTCCTTGGCACAGCCAATGCAACCTGTCTACTTACTCCAGTGCCTGGCTCTTCAAAATACAAATATCTGATGTCACATACACTTCAGGTTATATAAATCTTCCATAATTCCATTTCCCTGTACAGCTCGGTTTTCATCGCTTAGGCTGCCTAGGCCAGCCAGGCAGGGGATTGTTAAAATCATGGAAAGCAGGAGCGTGGGCCAAGACTGCGGGATTCCCAAATCATCGGAGGACGGCAAATTCCTCGTGCATCAGTGCCTAAGGTGGGAAATTCTTTTAGGAGCTGTGTGTGTGTGGGGGGGGGGGGCGGGGGGAGGGTTGGGGGGTGGGTGATGGGGGTTGCGTCGCTACAGCGGGCATTACGGTAAAGAGGTAGGAGGGGTCCTACCGGCAGCGGCGAGGGCAGCCTCGGAGCTGTCAGTGGGGGCGGCCACGTGACCTCGAGCTGGGCCGGAGTCGGGTTTCGTCCAGGAAGGGGCGGAGCCCGGGAGGGGGCGGGCTCAGACGCCGGCGCCAGTCGGGACCGTGCGCGCTGCTGCGATCAACGCGGCATGGAGCCGAGCGGGTCGCGGTGAGTCTCTGCGTCCCGCCAGGCGGCGGGCGGGGCTTCAGACTGGGCTGTCGGGCTCGGAGGTCCGACGCCAGAGCCTCTCGCCCCTGCTTCCGAGAGCGCCCAGCCCCGATCCCCTCCTCGTGGGTTCCTGAGACCTTTTTTCACTGCAACGCGCTTGACGTTCTTGCGGGCTGAGCCCTGGAGGGGAATCCCCGCTTCGGAGCTGTCGGCTTATCCCCCCAGCCTAGGAGCACCCCGAGACTGTCCTGGTCCAAAGACCCCCCAAAGCTGTTCCTGCTGGACTTTCTCATCCCCTTCCACCTCTGCCCCGGGAGGCCCCGCGTTCCCCCTCCAGTGGCGCTGAGCAGGGTCGGGCACAGGCCCTGGGAGGGGCCCTGCTCGCCCTCCTGGGCGCCACCTGATAGGTGCAGTGGGAGGGGAGTCGCAGCCTGGAGCTGGCCTGCTGCAGGCCGATAGCACGGCCGGGGAATGATGCGCCCGAGGAGCCCGCGCGCCTGCCCCACCCGAACGGGCTCACGCACACCTTCCCCCACCCGGTTCCGACCCGCAGACCCCGGGGTTTCCCCGAGCTGAAGAACGACACGTTCCTTCGCGCTGCCTGGGGAGAGGAAACGGACTACACCCCCGTTTGGTGCATGCGGCAGGCAGGCCGCTACTTACCAGGTCAGGGCTAGGGCCTGGGCATTTTAGGTCGCACTCTGCAGGGGGAATCGTTTTGGAGGGTGGGCGAGGGCTCTGGAGGCTCCTCCCAGCTGCGCCCCGTCTTCCCTTGGCAGAGTTTCGGGAAGCTCGGGCTGCCCAGGACTTTTTCAGCACCTGCCGCTCCCCAGAGGCCTGCTGCGAACTCACCCTGCAGGTGAGGGGTCCTGGGAAGAGAAGGGGCTTCTGCCCCCAGGTTGCCGCCTAACGCCTCTGTTCTCTTCCCGACAGCCCCTGCGCCGCTTCCCCTTGGATGCTGCGATCATCTTCTCTGACATCCTCGTGGTACCCCAGGTATCTGTTCAGATTCTGGAATGGCTTGGAAACTGGGGTGATGCTCAAGGCTCCAGAGAAGCGCTGTCCTTCCCTGGACAGAGGCACACACACAGCCTGGACGATCTGGAAATTTTCCTCGTCTTCTCTCCTGGCGTAGGTTGAACAGAACCTTTCCTCTCGGAGGTACAGATGGTGAGCCCCAGTTTTTCTCTCCTCCAGGCACTGGGCATGGAGGTGACCATGGTGCCTGGCAAAGGGCCCAGCTTCCCAGAGCCGCTGCGAGAAGAGCGAGACTTGGAGCGCCTCCGGGACCCAGCGGCTGCGGCCTCTGAGCTGGACTACGTGTTCCAGGCCATCACCCTCACTCGGCAGCGGCTGGCTGGGCGGGTGCCACTGATCGGCTTTGCCGGTGCCCCGGTAATAAGGCACAAAGGAGGGAAATGGACACAGGCGGATCTCAGTGGCAGGTCTGCCGTACACGGTGTCATTGTGGTTTCTGTACTTGTGAGCCCCTCTCTGTATCCTTCTGCAGTGGACTCTGATGACATACATGATTGAGGGTGGCGGCTCAAACACCATGGCTCAGGCCAAGCGCTGGCTCTACCAGAGACCACAGGCCAGTCACCAGCTGCTCCGCATCCTCACTGATGCTCTGGTCCCTTACCTGGTGGGACAGGTGGCTGCTGGTGCCCAGGTCAGTACTGAAGCAGAGAAAAATAGGCTGGGGTCTAGACACGTGAGTTCCTTACCACTGGGAGTTAGGAATGCCACTCACAAAAGGCCGCACTGTCTTTGTGAATTTGACAGAAGCAGCTAAATCCACCCTAATGTTTGCAGAGGTCCTGAAACCTCCAGCAGTTTAAAGATGAGCTTGTACTACCAAATGTAGCCTGCCCACAGGGCAGAGTCTGGCAAACTCCCCGTGGCGGACCCAATATGCCAAATACCAGTAGCAATGATGGGTCTCATTCTCCTAAAGAGCCTTGAATATAATCTCAGGGCTAGGATGAAGGAGACGTTACTGGGGCCTGCTCGAGGCAATCAACGAATAACAGGATGATGAATGAATGAATGAATGTTTGCTTTTGGGTCACTCCCAGCAGTGCTTGGAGGTTGCTCCTGGTGGTATTTAAGGAACCATCACACTGGGCCTTCTGCGTGCAGAACACGTGTTCCAGTCTGTTGGTTCTCCAGCCAAGTGAGTCATCTCTCTGGCTGAGAACTTTTTTTTTTCTTTAAATAGGGGCTTTCTTAATTGTAATTTTGAACCCTTTGAACTCTCTCCCTAGTCCCAGCAAAACTTTTGGACAATTTCTGGGTTTGCGAATTTCAGCATTACCCAAGCTGGCTATGAGGTGGCTGGACTTGACTGGACAGTGCCCCCAGTGCTCAGGGGCCTGGGGGTCGCTCCCAGTGCTGCTCAGCCTAGCAGTGCAGGCCCAACAGTTTGATGCTTGCCCTAGTGATGCGTATCTCAGGCCTACTGGGAGAAAGGCTTGCCAGAGCCACCCCTGCTTATGCTCAGGGTGGGGGTATGGGTAACTGTAGTTCTGGGGATCCAACTGGGGATGGAGGAAGGGGTTCTGCATGAGAGCTACACGCCTGGCTCCTTTGAACTCTCCCTAGTCCCCGCAAAACTTTTGGACAATTTCTGGGTTTGAAGATTTCAGCATTACCAGGGGCTGAAGCGACTTGAGGGAAAGTTGAGCTGTATTCTATGCACAGAGCCTCAGTTTCTTTCTGGTGTTTGTGTTCCTTTCTTTTTACTACCTCCTGATGACAGGCGTTGCAGCTCTTTGAGTCCCACGCGGGGCATCTTGGCCCACAGCTCTTCAACCAGTTTGCACTGCCCTACATCCGTGACGTGGCCAAGCGAGTGAAGGCCAAGGTGCAGGAGGCCGGCCTGGCTCCAGTGCCCATGGTAAGGACGGGGAGGGGATGAGCAAGCAGGCCCGTGGGGCTTTCTGGGTAGGCCTGCACAATCAGAAGTGACCGCTGGAGGGCAGCAGAGGCACAAGGGAGAGAGGCTAGTGGGCACATCGAGGCCCTGCAGCCCAAGATACCCGCGCTTTTCCTTAGATCATCTTTGCTAAGGATGGACATTTTGCCCTGGAGGAGCTGGCCCAAGCTGGCTATGAGGTGGTTGGACTTGACTGGACAGTGCCCCCAGCGATTGCCCGGTGAGTGACCGAGGGGTGGACCCTGGAGCCTGAGGTACGGATACGGGGTACGGATGCCAGGTGCAGCTGCCAGTGACCAGCACGTGACCCTAACTCTGCTTTCAGGGAGCGTGTGGGGAAGACAGTGACGTTGCAGGGCAACCTGGACCCCTGTGCCCTGTACGCGCCCAAGGTAACCACCAGGTCCCTCGTGTGTGTTTCTATGTGCTCTGTCCCAGCTGCGGATACAATTGGGTTACCATGTGTGTATTGTATGACATTAGTTTGTCCCCTTTCTGCTCACATACACTTGAGGCCAAGCCAGGCAGGAATTTGTTTCGTTGTTGTTCCTTTGTGTTTTCCAAGTACCTGGCCCATATAAGGCACCCTGTCAATTTTGTTGATGCCTGAGTAACACCGAGTTACAGCCTGCCCCCACACGTGGGTGACCAGTGTGTACAGGGAGGGTGGAAGCTGGCTGGCCTTCCCCTAGAGCTGGTGCACTGTTGGTCCCACAGGAGGAGATCGGGCAGCTGGTGCAGAAGATGCTGGATGCCTTCGGATCCCAGCGCTACATCGCCAACCTCGGCCACGGGCTCTACCCTGACATGGACCCCGAGCACGTGGGGGCCTTTGTGGACGCCGTGCATAAGCACTCGCGTCTGCTTCGAAAGAACTGAGTGCACTTACCTTCTGCTGCTAATGCAGATTATACTCGTAGGAGAATAAAAGTTCCAGAGCTGGAGTCTAGCGTGGCTTTGTTTGTGAAAGGCCCCGGTACCCTGAGTCCCTCCGCTAGGGTCTGTTTTGCTCCACTCTCACCAGCTGTGGAGCTCAGGTGTCGGTATGTACTTACCGGACATACTGACAGTGTTAGGACCCTGGTCACCGCCTTGCTCTCAGATTCCCCTCCCCTCCCCATCCCGCCCCTCTCTGAGGTACATGGTGAGGGTAGAACTTCTGAGCAGCTGGAGCTGTGACTTGCACAGAGAAGTGAGCTTCCTACAGCATGCAGGGCCAAACTGACAGGACTTCATATTTGGGGAGGGAGGGGAGCTTTCATGGGAGAGGCACACGGGCATGGCGTGGATACCGGCGAGGGGCTGTTGAGGAAGATGGAGTCTGGGGGAGTGGGAAGCTCAGACCTTGACTTATTTATTTATTTTTTGTTTTTTGGGTCACACCCAGCGATGCTCAGAGGTCCTCCTGGCTCTGCACTTGGGAATCACTCCTGGTGGTGCTTGTGGGACCATATGGGATGCTGGGGATTGAACTCGGGTCGGCCGCATGCAAGGCAAATACACTACCCACTGTGCTATCGCTCCGGCCCAGACCTTGAATTTTAACACTCAAAGATGGAGAGGACATGAAGACTTGGACCTTAAAGAGTCTTCAACTTACGTCACTTGGTGAGGCCTTAGGCCACTTTTATTTTGCTCCCCATGGCACCCATTTCTAAAGTACATATGAGGTCTGGAAAGAGGCCCGGCACAACAGGAAATTCTAACTTACAATTCCATATCATATACCACTAGGAGCCCATTACTCCACAGACCAAATCAGCTCCCTCCCTGACCCAGCCAGGGAATGCAGGAGGGAGAGAAAGGGATCCATTTACTGAAAACACAATATTGCTTTTAGAAAAGTGACCTTTCCGGTGATCCATGATTTATTCATAGAAAAACACTGTGAGTTCACACACCTGCTAACAGAAATGGCAACTGTGATACAGAAATGGGAGTGGCTTTTTTAAAGCCAACCTATGAGGCTGGAAAGCTGTAGGGCTCATAGCTGGACAGTAAGATTTCAGTAGCCACAAAAAGCAAATACAACTTATTGGTTATTGTGGAGGGCAATAAAAGACACAGTGTGTTCAAGAAAGAAAAGGCAGACAGCGAAGTCCTTAATTCATATTCTAGCTATGCCATCCCTCTCCTATCATACCCCAACTCCTACTCTGGAACTAAAACATGGAACAGTAAGACGCTAAAACACTGGCATCCAAATGACTCTTCTGAATGCTACTGTGCTACCTCCTGTCGTATTTCCAGGCTACGCACAGGGGTCAGGAAGGTAGCGGAACGTGATACACTAAGGAGGTCAGCCAGGACTAAGGTGAGTTGTCCACTCGGATTAGAAACTAGTCAGGAAGGGAAAGGCCAAATGCATTCCAGTCCCAGCCTTCCAGTTAGTGGCCGGCGAGGCTGTGGCGAAAGCAGGCAGAGGAAGTTTGAGGTAGAAAGGCAGGAAGAGGAAGCAAGTACAGGGAGGGGAGGACAATGCAGAGCTCAAGGGCTCACTCTTAGGCTCGAGCAAGGACAGTGCGTAGAAGCTCATGGGAGGGACGGGGCGGGGAAACATACTTCGCTAGTAAGAGAGTCTACGAGGAATCGGGGGAGAGAGATGCGCTATGCCAAGAAGGGTCGCACTCACCCGGATCCCCCTCAACTATGAATTCAGGGACATAACTACGTCTTGAAACACACACACACACAAACACAGGTCGGTGGAGAGCTGGCACGGCATGAGGCAGGCTTCTGCACACGCTCTTGTGTGCACAGGTACATGCAAACCGGCCATCTGCAGACAGACATTACTCCATACACACCTGACGCACACTCTAATACATACCACGGCAGTCAAGTAGAGCCATATGTTCACAGGGACACTGACCTGACAAATATGCACACCTGCACACACAGCCACGCACAGATATTTATGCATACAGATATTCTTACACACACACACACAAAGACACAGACACACAGACACACATAGACACACACACACACTGAAACAGGAAACCAGATACTCTCAACACAAAGGTGACCAGAGTATATGACTATCATGAGCTCCGTGGCCTCCCTCACCTTTACCCTTTTCCTGCACTAGTTTCTTGGAAGCCCTGCAGGCTCCCAGTGAGGCTGAGTGAGGCAGAAGCAAGAACTTCAGGGTCCTCATGGCTTCGTGAGGCAAAAGTCTAAGTCCAGCCCTGGGCTCAGCCCAAAGGCCTCCACCTGCCACTGGGCTAGGGATTCCCGGTCATGCAGGTGGGGTTTTGGCACAGACTAGACTTGGCGGTTTATTCCAACCAGCCATTTTTTTTTTCTCCCTGTAACCCCATTCTTCCACTGCCAACTGCATTATTCTCTGCAAGGGAAACCTGAGAAATGATTGAGTCTCCTCAGAAAACAAGCCTATCTTTCCGCCCACAGCTACTTCAAGTACCCATCAAATTAAAACCAGTATTATAAATAGTTACGCCTTTGCAATGTAATTGGCAACACGTATACTCTAGTATATTACAAGACTGTAAATGTTCTGTTTCTCTGGTTAAGCAATCCCTGAGGAGGAACAGTGTTCTGTGTTTGCCAGGGGAGAAGGGCCACTGCCCAGGGCACGCAGGAGAGAGGGGCGCGAGGTGGCGTGTTGTGGGGTTTCTGTCTCTCTGCAGGGCCCAGCTCCTCCGGGAACAGCGGGCTGCCGTGGGGACCTTGCCAAGGCGGGTGACTGGCGTACCGGGCTGTCCCGTGCCTAGACCTGGGGCCCTCTGGCTTCAGCCACAAGTGCTCAGAATCCTCTCAGGGGTGACGGATGTTTCTGCGTCCTTGGCCTGACTGGGTGGTACCTGGGCGCCCAGGCTGGCCCAGCCACGAGCCGTCCCCGTGCTCAGCCAAAGCGCTCCCGCACCAGCAGCATCAGCTTCTTCTTGCCCTTGTAGATTTGCTTGAGGTTATCGATGAACTGGGCGAACTGCAGGTGGCCGTCCTGGGGGAGCAGGAAGGTCTCCCGAGCCTTGCTCAGAAACTCGATGAACTCTCCGTAGTGGCGAGGGCTGATGTGGGTCAGGCGCGAGTGTGTGGTGTTGATGTAGGCGTTGATGGTGGCGTCCAGCAGCTGGCGCAGGGGGGCTTTGTCGGTGGACATGAGCTTCCCGGAGCTGCGGCGGCCGGGGATGCCCGCCAGGCCGGGCGCGGTCACCGTGCAGCGCCGGAGGATGTCGGAGAGCACGGTGGCACAGTGCACGCTCTTCACCACCAGGGGGATGAGCGCCGCCAGCTCGTTCTTGCCCAGAGAGTGGCTCAGGGCACAGGCCCAGAGCACGTCGTTGATGGCCGGGTGGGTGTCCTGGTTGTAGGCCAGGTTGAGGTGGCTCATGGCCAGCGAGGCCAGCTTGAAGGCACGGAGCGGGTAGCCACGGAGCTCCATGTAGCGGGCGATGGTGAAGAGCTGGGAATGGGTCATGCCGCCAGCTGCGGCATCGATGGCTATCTGGTAGGCTGCCTCGAAGGCGATGTGGTCCTTCTCGCAGAGAGTGAGCGCCGACAGCGCGCAGCTCTGGGGATCCTTCATAGCGCACTGCAAGGCCAGGGTGCGCGCACAGCTGGCCAGCTCCTCCCGCTGTGGATAGTCCAGGCTCAGGCGCAGGATGGTGGTGTGGGACACGGCGGTGGCGGCCACAATGCTCGTGGCCTCGGTGGGGGTGAAGAGTGTGTACCAGCTCTGCAAGATGCTCACCAGGGCCCGAACACCTGTCAGGGAGAGCCCGAGCTCAGCGGTGGCCCTCTGATCCGGGTCTGCCCACATTACCACCGGGGCCCGGAACTGGGCCTGCAGAGACGAGTTCTCCCTCCGCAGTGGCCTGGAGATGATCTGAGGCCAACCAGGGGCACGGGGACTCCCCCAGAAGGCAGGCCCTGTTGGGGTTCTCCTCCCTTCCCGGCCTCCCCCAGATCAGAGGGTCGAGGGTCTCTGCTGAGGCTCTGAGCCCCTGCCCGAGGCTCTCGCTGGAGGGGGGGCTCATCAGGCAGAGTCTTGTGCTGAAACTGGGGTTTCTCACGGGCCTGGGCAGACACGGACTGGGACCAAACCACTGGGTCAGCTACCTCCCCGGGGCGCGCTGCAGTTACTGGGCATGGCAAATTTGTTCTTTCAGACATCTCTGTGGTAAGAGGGTCGAGGTGCTGCAGACATCAGGATAGGGTCCAAGCGGAGAGGGCAGAGCCGGGGCCGGCTGAAGAGAGGCATCTTCTACCAGCGGCCCCATCCTTTCCTAGGTCATCAGTAATAGGAAACCGAAAGCTCTAAGGATTCACTGTGCTGTCCCAGGAGTGAGACCGAGAAACTCCTTCGGGAAGGAGGGGGCAGAGGAAGGTGGGAGACTCACCCACTTCTGTAGCGCACGTCACCAGCCACCGCACCATCTCCCGGCGCCTCCAGTTAAGGGTCGACAAGGTCATCCTCATCACCTGGGTGCAAAAGACACAGTTCCAGGATGTGCTAACTGTGACTGTAGTGATTGCCCTTTCCCCATCTTCTTCGTCACTGATTCATTCACTCAGAAAGTAGTTATGGTGCTGTACACAGTCATTTTTCCCCATGCCAAGTACAGAAAGGTTTGCTTCATTTCTGCTCCACCCTGTCATCAACCAGAAGGTTGTCTCTGATGACTTACTTTGAACATGGTCCTTATTGCCACATCGTGCTTGACTTGGAGAAAAGGGGAGACTGCCTTGGCGGAATGCGGATACCATGGGGCTTACATCTACATGTTTCTGGCCTTCAGCCCAATAAATGCAGCCCTTACCTGATGCCTAGCCTAGAAGTGTTGTTACAGGACACAGGAAAAACACAGATTGGACCCATGCCCGATCCATGTGAAATTGATCAACTGTTACCGGGCTCAAGTCTCAAGTAGGGCTGGCCTAGTCCTCTTCCTCCTACCTGTAAGCCCAGCTCCAGGGC